GGAGCGCGCCCGGCCCAGCCCCGCGTCCCGCCGCTTCCCCCCAGCCATGGAGCAGGATAGCAGCCCCCGGAAGATCCAGTTCACGGTCCCGCTGCTGGAGCCGCACCTTGACCCCGAGGCGGCGGAGCAGGTGCGGAGCAGGGCGGGGCGGCGGGGGACGAGGCACCGCTGGACAGTGGGATCCGGGGTCCCGGCTGGGTCCTCCCGGAGCAGTGCACCCCGGCGAGGGCGACCGCACCCAGTCGGGGGGTCTTCTACCCCCTCCCCCACCGTCGGAGCCCCGTCTCCCAGTCGGCTTCCTCGAGACGGACTGAAGGACGAGCGCCTCCACGCGAAGCCTGTCCCCGCGAGAGTCGCTCTCTGGCTCCCCAGCCCTGGGGGAGGGGGCCTGCCTGAGGACACGACCCCTCCCGCTTCGCCAGTCTTGCATCCCCGCCCAGGCAACCCCGCCAGAGTTTCCGGGCTGGGTGGGGGCGCTGAAGGGTCGGGGCAGCGGTGCGGGAGGGGCTAGGGGAGAGGGTGGGTCATGGAGGGAGCCTGATGCTGTCGGAGTTGAAAGAAGAGAAATAGCCCTCCCAGTCCTCTCCTAACTGGGGGCGACCCTGCGGGAGTCCAGAGAGTGAGAACCAGAAGGGGCTGAGGAAACCGGAGAGGGCTGGGGCTCTGGGGAGGGGCTGGTCGGGTCTGCAGGCCGAGACTCCCTTCTTCTGCAAGTCTGGACACGTGGATCCTTATTCCCAACTCCTGCCCTTTGGAGCGGGGAGTAGGGGTGGCATGGAGAGAATGGCGCGCGGAAGCCAGACGCAGGCGCTCTCTAGGGTTGGGGTCCACGCTGAGCCACACGCAGGGGAGAAGCATTGTGCTGGCCTTGGCTCAAGGGGTGGGAGTCCAGGGCCCTGGCCCAGCCTCCTGGCCTGGCCTATTTTTAGCTCGCAGCAGCCTGGCAGAGGTGGCAGTGTATGAGTGTGTGAGCGAGTGTGTGTCTCAGGGAGAGTGAGCATGTGTGGAGAGGGTGACCACCCGTGGTCGTTACTACCGCCCATTTGCAAATATTTGCTCTTGTGCTCATTGCTCCATTTCTTTTTGTATTCTTTGTCCATTTGCCTAGACATCCCTGTTCCTAAAGAATATCCATGTCCCACAAGGTCAGTTCTCTATTTCCCCCAACCAGCTGCCAGGGCTCTGGCTGGGCCCCCCCACCTGAAACAACTCTGTGACCTCTTGGGATGGGCTGGAGAGAATGTTCTTTCTGTTACTCCAGCTGTTTGGCAGAAGGAGGTCTGGATGTGAAGGGAAAGGGGAGGCACACCCTCTCCCTGTAACTTCAGCTCCCCAGAGTGTGGACAGGGGTGAGGTACCTGGGTCTCCATCCTCTCCCAGGCCTGGAGGGAGCAGCATCTAAGGTGTGACAGTAGGAGGGACTGGGTGAGACCTCAAACCTCCTGAGGATGAGGACAGTGGAGAGCCACTAGCATGGAGAGCGTTCCCTTGGGGTCAGGAAAAAGGCTGTTATGCCTGGAGGCAGGGAACTGGCTAACAGAACCTCAGATCCAGGAAAAAGGGCCCAAGAGTGTGGGCTGTGGGGGTGAGGGATGAGGTTCCAAGCAGAACTTCCACTGGCACAAACAGGTCTCACCGCCTGACACTGCATCTGTTTGGTGTCAGAGGAGGCAGGAATAGGTGTGGGTTGGGAAGAGGAGGGGCTAGGCCAGCTGGTTCAGGGGTCTAGGGGACAGGAGAGGAAGATGAGGCTGTGCTAAAGAGCCAGAGGGAAAAGGCTGGGACTTGGGCCTGTTTTTCTCTAGTCTTTAGAAATATGTGTCTACTAGGCCTGAAATTCTACCTGCAGTCTAACCTCAGTCCCTCTTGCTATGTTACCCAAGTGTATAGGCAAAAACCTCGAGGCTTGGCAGGAGCTTGTAACCCAGACTGACACAGGAGGGCAGAAGGGGTTGAAGCTCTGAGTTATGGAGCACGGAGTGGCCGAGGATGGCGGGGAGCCCACAACTGCCAGGTCCTTGGCATGACTGATTTGGGAATACATCAGAGGCGAAGTCACCAGTGTCCTTACGAACTAGATACAAGAAAAAGAAGAAACCATCTACTCGTTTCCTAGTAGTTAGGTGCCTGGGAGGTGCTTCAGGAAGTCTGACTTTCCTCTCTCCCGCTGTAGGACATCACAATTCTCAGGGACTCTGAGTGCTTAGAAATCTTGTCCAAGGCAAGGAAATTGGATAAGGAAGGGACCTGTCCAAGATCACAGAGCCCCGCTGCTCTCTCAAAGGCCCTTTCTGTCATACTTGAGTCTCCTTCTCAGGTTCCCAACTCCCAGGAATGCCTACCCCACCCTCTCCCTGTCTCCTCCGCTCTTCTACAGCCAGCCCCCTCCCCCAGGGCAGGAAAGAAACAGAGAGGAGTCGTCTCCTAGGAAAAGGACGGCCCCCTCCCCATGTACATGAAGCACACAAGCCCGCCTGCTGGCACCCAGCACGTTCGTACCAGGAATCACCAGAGACGGACCCACAGCTAATGTTTGTGCAGTGCATGCATGAATGTGCGCGCACACGCACACACACACACACACACACACACACACACAGGACTGGTACTGCCAGGACCTTGAAATGTCACCAAAAACAGATGCCACTGGATTCTCCTCAGAAAACAGAGCCCTACCCCCAACGCACCCCCATTCTATGCATCCCATTTCTTCTTTGGGGAGAGTCCCCCTCTCAGATTAACACTGTCCCTTTCTGGGCATAGAGAAGGGCAGGCGTCTTACCATCCCAACCCACAATGGTAATGATACTAAATAATGGACACACCAAGACAGCAATTTGATCGTTCAGGTCCCCACCCTACTCCTCTCGACCCTGGAAATTTTAGCTCCTTTCCCAGCCCCAAGAGCCTTCCCTCCTCTCCTGTGCCCTGGAGGGAGCTGCAGGGACTCCAACCCCACGGTTCCCCTCACTCCCAAGCCTCTAAACACTCCAGAGAAAGGGGAAAAAACTACATGTCCCAAGAGTCCTTGGACTGACTTCAACAATAATCAACTTTATTGGCAGCACGACAAAAAACAGCAGCAGAAAAAGGGGCTCAGAAGCCCAGCCGTCAATCAGCTCTTGTGTGTTAATTTCTTAAAAGGGAACTCAGAGAGCCCAGGATAAGATTTTGCAGCTAAGCTTTAGGGCTCCTCCTCATATCATATTTACCACGACAAGGATTTCCCAGACCTTATTTCCTGACAAATCAGAAAGTCAGTGTGTCCAAGGACAGGGAGGACATGAGGGAGTGAGGGGCACGGGCCAGGGGGACGCACATTCAGAGCCACCTTCTCTGTGTTGTCCTCCTGGGCTGCGTGGAGACAGAGGGGTGCTCTCTGCAGGGGCTGGCCCACAAAAGGTTAATGTGTGTTTGAGGGGTGGGCTGGGCGGTGGAGAGAAGAGCCTATGTCCTCTCAGGTTATTTCTGACCATTGATCGAGGATGGACGGAAGGACAGCAGGCCAGAGATCGATGCATTAGAGCAGATTTAGCTGCGGAGATGGAGAGCTGGGGCCAGGGCTGGGGGAGATGCTGAGACAGACCAGGGGGGTGGTGGGGCAGGGAGTAGGGGTGGTCTTTTGGGTCCCAGAGGAGAGGGATGGGCACAAGAATGTTCACCGTGGGACAGCAGGTTCCATGTAACGTGGCATTTCTTAAGGTGTGTTAAGTGGGTGGCCTGGGTTATGTTGCTGAGTGGTGCTGGGTAGGGCTTTGACACTTCCACGTGTACTTTTCCTCTTCCTTCAGATTCGGAGGCGCCGCCCCACCCCTGCCACCCTCGTGCTGACCAGTGACCAGTCATCCCCAGGTACCCCCAGGGATGGGTTGCCGAAGGGAGTAGGGCTGCTGAAGAAGCTGGGTCCCAGTGAGAGAAGGGGGGTGCTGGATGGAAGAAGGGCAGATCTGAGGAGTCAGAGCGTCCTCCATCCCAGGGGCAGGAAAGTGATGGCTGGATTAGTAGGAGGATTTCCTTTGCTTTGGAAAGATGGAGCAGTGCTGGGGAGGGGAGGGAGACCACTGGTTCCTAAGCCCCTCAGGAATTAGGGTGGTCAACCGAGTGCTGGTTGCTGCGGCAACAGCCTCCCAGGTTTCTCCAGCAACTGAGATGCTGCTGCCCCCACCTACAGAGGCAGTGACGGCTGTGAGGGGGAGGGACCGCCTCCATCAGCTATCTTCATGCCCCCAGAGGGGAAGGGGAAGGTTGGAAACAGCTCAGGGAGCAGCTGGCATTCTGGTCACCAGTGTCCCATCAGGGTCTGGGGAGAGAACAAGGTCTCAGAGAATGTCAGGGAGCTTGACAGGAGAGTGGAAGAGAGGTGGTCATGCTACTAAGCTAGACTGGAATGCAGGATGCCTGAGTCTCCAGCTGTCCTCCAGCTACTAAAAATGATGGTACCTTCCCGACCCTGCACGGGATCGTTTTGCGATTCTTTAGCCGGTGTTCCCTCCCATGTAGGGTTGGTTCTGGACCTGGAATGGAGGGAATGGTTGGCAGGAAAAAGAGATATGTATATTTCAGAGGGAGGAAAAGAGCAAAAGGAGCACAGATCCTGCCTTTGGGAGCCTCCAGGTCTGAGGCAAGGATGTAGATGCAGACGGACCACAGAGTCAAGGAGAGGACTAAAGGCAGGGAGAGGCCCAGCCAGCAGAGCAGGAGGGAGCTGGAGCGAGGAGGCCTAGGGCGGCCACCAGGGCCAACTTCCTAGGGGCAGATGTGAGGGACAGAGCGGGAAGGAGCTGATTGCAGAGGCTCCTCCCCGTGGGAAGTCAGCTCTGCTGGGACCCCCTGGATTTCCCATCCTCATCGCTTTCTCCTTTCCCTGTTCCCCTCAGAGATAGATGAAGACCGGATCCCCAACCCGCTTCTCAAGGTGAGCTGGCCTCTCCGCTCAGCCCAGCCGAGAAAACCCGCAGACTCATTAGGGGGTTATTCCTCAGAGCCCCCATCTGTAGGACCTTTCGACTCCCTCTTCCCTGCACCCCGACAATGTGCATGGGTGGACACACACCCCCTCACATCCCCCACACATAGTCCCCTTGCTCACCACTGGGGGGGTGCTGGGGAAGCAGAATTTTCTTCCCCCACTTTCTGCAGCCCACACCCACCCCCCATCTCCAATCCAAGAGCATGGCAAGGCAGATGAGGCCAGCCAGAAGGGCTGGCACCCACCTGTGCTCTGTGTCCTTCACAGTCCACTGTGGCCATGTCTCCGCGGCAACGGAAGAAAGTGACAAGGACCACGCCCACAATGAAAGGTTCGGAAGACCGGTCACATCCCTTCCTTCCCCTCTCTGCCTGAGGCAGAGCAGTAGACCTATGACTCTTTTGGAAGGAATTCTTGGGAAATGATTAAATCTGCCTCTATTAAAGTGGAGTTGTTGCTAGAAAAACCGGGGCTGAATTCCGGCTCTGCCACCGACCAGCGGGGTGGCCTTGGAGAACCTGCTTACCGTACTGAGCCGTGACTGCTGCCTCACTCTGGCAGTTACATTAAATAAAATACGTGAACTCACAGAGAAATGAGTTCACGGCACCTAGAAGGTACACAGATATTTCTTGACTCTAACTTGAGTCTTTTCTCCTGTCCCCAGTGAAGACCACTTATCCCAGCAAGTTAGGAGGATCTTTTGTTCCTAAAGGCTCTTCCTCAGCCCTCCTTTACCTTTGAAGGAAGTACGTTTTATTGTCTAGCTTTAGTCCCTCCCATTGCCTAGTGAATGTCCCTCCTTGCTCAGATCTCCAGGGGCAGGAAAATCCAACCACACAGCAATGTGTGGTGAGTCTTCTGGGGGCTGTTGAACTTGAGACTGGGTAGTCGTGTCCAATGTCCTCCCCCTTTCTCTGTGCCCCCAGAGCTCCAGATGATGGTTGAACATCACCTGGGGCAACAGGAGCAGGGAGAGGAGCCTGAGGGAGCTGCTGAGAGCACAGGGACCCAGGAGTCCTGCCCACCTGGGATCACAGATGCAGAAGCGGAGTCAAGGCCGGGCACCTCTGGGAAAGCACCAAGTACGTTCAGGCTGGCGAGGGACCAGCCTGGGAGGAGACAAGCCTCACCCACGTGCTAGGGTCCAGTAGTAGCCAGAAAGTGTCTGGAGGATTGGGATCTATTTGCATGTATTTGCATCTCTTCACCTTTCCTTACTGAATGACACCAGCCCCTCCCACCATAATGGGAACAGCACCATCGGGCTGGAATGCTGGCTCTGCCCCTTTACAGCCAGAGGCTTGAGCAACTTACTTAACCTCCGTCTATAAAATGATAATGATGGTGCCTATTTCACTGGGTTGTTTATGAAAATTCAATGAGACTGGTTCTTAGCCCAGCAGCTGAAACATACAAAGCATGCAACAAATGGAAGCCACTGGTGGTGCTGTTAATACACGTCCACAGTCCCTTATCCCAGATGCATTCCAGAATTCAGAATTCTCCCAATTGTATGACGGTGACACAGTATATATGCTATACATTTCGTAATACTCTCAGCAGAGCGCCCTGTAATCAAACACATTAATATTTCTGCAGTGAGAAGCCGGCCCCGTGGCTTAGCGGTTAAGTGCGTGCGCTCCGCTGCTGGCGGCCTGGGTTCAGATCCCAGGCGCGCACCGACACACCACTTGTCAGGCCATGCTGTGGCGGCATCCCACATAACGTGGAGGAAGATCAGCACAGATATTAGCTCAGGGCCAGTCTTCCTCAGCAAAAAGAGGAGGATTGGCAATGGATGTTTGCTCAGGGCTGATCTTCCTCACAAAAAAAAAATATATATATATATTTCTGCAGTGAAATGAATGCTCCCACCAAGGGGGATAAATAGACTATAAATTGCCTCATATCAGTTCAGGTCAGGTTTAGCCACGCATTGAGATTGTACCCAAATTTTTTAACCTTTTTTAGGGGTTTTTTTTTTAGATTTCTGGTTGCAGATAAAAAAAAATTAGTGAACCTCTACTAGTAACTGTGATCAGAGGAAACTCGGTGGGTCCTGCCCGACTGCCCCCATCTTGGTCTTAGGCTCCTCTCAGGGGTCATTGGAGTATAGGATGGGGTAAGAGAAGCAGCTCCCTCTCTCCAGCCCTCATGAATACACCTCTCCCTCCCACCATCCATTTCCCTCCTTAGAGCCTGCAGAATCCACCCCGAAAACTCAGGAGAGGGGCATTGAGAAACCCAGCACAGAGAAACCCTCAACCCATATACCACCACTGGATTCCCAGGGAGCCAACTCGGTAAGACCCAGGGCTGGGCTGCCCGCTCTCCGGGAGAGCAGGCTGTGTGGAGAGAGCCAGGTCTGAGATCTGCAGTCAGGGAAAAGGGGGACAAAAGACCAGCTCCCGTCACTGAAGGGCTGTTCTCTATGGAGACTAGAGGACTTGCATCTCCTCTGACAGACAAAGGGAGAGAAATGGGATTAAGCTGCAGCAGGAGGGATTGAGGTTAGACTGTGTTAGGACTTCTGGCTCTGGGAATGGGTGATGGAAGTAGACCATAGATCTTCTGATAAAAGGCATTTGGAACCCAGAGGGAGATCCTCACCTGTCTAGGCTGGGCGTGCAGCAGTCCTGCCCGGAGTGGAGTCATTGATGGAATGACCCAGGGAGCTTTCATTTACAGTCTTCCCGCACAGACTGGACAAGGGGACGGGACTGGGTCAGGCATCAGAAGTTAGATGCTCGACTAACGGATGGTTGGGCAGACCAGCAGGGGAGGGGACACGAGGACCCCCGGCCTCCCACTCACCCTGTCTTTCTGCGCCTCCCCTCCCCTCAACAGGTCTGAGAGTGAAGGAGGTACCCTGGAATCAAGACTGCAGTTGGGAATGCATGGACACTGGATTTGTTTCTTATTTCTTCACTTTTGGGGAAAATCTCTTGTTTTTAAAAAGTGATAAATTTGATGTTAGGTCCTTGGCATTTTCCTTCTTTCCCGACTTGGAGAATCGTCTCTCCCTCCCCTCTCATCCTGCCGTCTCTACAGCCGCCTCCCCTTCTGCCCAGCTGCCTCTGGAAAGAACTCGGGAAGCTGGGCAGGAAACTTGAGAAGGGGGTTCTTCCCCAAGCCTGCTCTTAATTGCTGCAGGAAGAGAAATAGGGGTCGGATAGGTGGGAGGACTAACTTCCAGGGTACAAGAAGGAAGGATGGCCCCGGGTTCGCGTTTCTTATGCAGGAAAAGATACAACCACCTGGCAGGGCTGCCCTGCAGCTGCAAGACCGAGCTCTAAGGCCCATCCAGCTGTTGACTGTGCTGTGCGTGCCATCTGCTGGACAAAATGGGGAACTGCACCCTGGCACTTGGCCCATGAAAGAGCGGGTGTGGTGTTGTGTGGATGCTCCTTGCCTGCCCTCCCAGCCTCAGTGATTCCCAAGCTTCAGGACTGTCCCCTCCTCCAGCTGTCAGGAGACCACCACCCCCATTCCGACATGTTAGCAAAGACAGATTGAGAACACGGTGGCTATTAAGGAAGAGGCCCTTGCTGCGAACTGGAAAGGTCATCTCCCGTTGTCCTAGACACCAGTGGCCCAGGGTAAAAGACAGAAGCCGAGCATTGGTGAAGAAGCTTCCTCAGGCCCCACAGCCAGTCCCCTCCTGCCCACTGCTTTTGATTTTTCCAGGTGGGGGAGGGGGAGGGGAGGCAGGCAGGCAAGATTCGCCCCACCATGCTGAAGAAGCAGTGTGATGGAGAGAGAAAAGAACCTTGGGAGTGTACAATCTCACTTCTGCTGTCCCTACTATGTGCCCTCGGGAACGACCTCACCTCTCTGGGCCTCAGCTTGCCCACCTCTCTATGTAATAGGGAGAACACTGCACCAGGGTTTTATCGAGCTTAAAAGAGACAGTGTACATGAAGATGCCCAGTGGACTTCCACCCAGTGAACACCAAACACGGCCAGGCCTGGTCTCCCTTCTTTATTGATCTCTGGCTATAGCAGGTTTCGGGGAGACCAAGGGCAGGGGTGAGTCACATGCGTCTCTGCCCCACTCGCAGTGGGGTAGGAGGGACAAGTGTCGGGGGGCAGGTCTAAGAGACCGTGGAATGGACTTCACACGCACAGGGCCCACTGTACAAATGCATGGTTGTATTTACAACAAAGGAGGAGGGCAGTCAGCTGGACTTGGGCCTTTCTTGGGACAAGGCGGGGCGACAGGAGCTTGAGGAGAGGAAGGGGCTTGGGCCTGGCTGGGCTCTCTTCAGAGGACATGACAGCGGCAGCCCTAAGCCCCTCCTCATCTGCCTTGCATCCCCCACTCCCCACTTGTCCCAGGGGAGGGCCCTCTTGGTGCCTGCAGCTGGGCCAGTGCTAGGAGGGGAGGGACCCTCTGTGTTGGCAATGCAGGATTACTGCATTATACCTCACCCTCCCCACCACCCTGGACCCAACCCAGCTGGTCTCTCCTGCCTGTGCTCTAAGAAGCATCCTGAAGGTGCTTTGCTGGGGAGACCTCAAAGCATTTTACAGACATTGGTCGGATGGCAGCCTCCCAGCCACAGGGGAAAGGAAGGAGGCCAAGGGCTCAGGACTCAGCCAGGGCGGCTGACAAGCCCCAGGGGCCTGGACCAGTCCCAAGTTCTCAGGGACCCCAGGAAAGGCCTCCTCTCAGCCCCTGGTCCCAATGGCTCCTCTCTTCCCCCAGTCACCTTTTCAGAGTGGGAGAGAGGGAAGACTGCAGGGGCTCAGGCTGGGGATGGGGCTGAAGCAGTGCAAATCTGGGGTAAAGATGTCCCCCCCATTCCCAGGACCTAGAAAGGTACCCTGAAGGAGCCCACTCCCCTCCCCACACATAGGGCTCTGAAAACCCCCAGCTTTCCATCCTATTCCAGCCCCTCCCAGGGGAGGAAAAGGGGGACCCAGATCTGCCAGCTAAGATCTGGGTGGGGGACTGAGGGAACCCCCAAAATGTATTGCTTAGAAACTTGGAGGCAAAAGGGATGGGGGAGGGCCCGGGGGCTGGCATCTCTGACCCTCCCCTCAGGCCCTGGGAAGCCTCCAGGAAGCTTCCCCCACCCAGCCAGCCATCTGGCCATGGGGGGAGTCCAGAGGCAGGGGGATGGGCACAGTGACCACTGGGAGCCTGAAGTTCCCCAGTTTGCTGCCGGGAGATTACAGTGCACCCCAGTGGGTGTCGGGTGGGGAGGGGCCCTTCCCCCAACCCCACAATCTCTGGCATTTGGCCTTCGGGTGGGTTGTCTCTTCCGCGACCTCTGTGCTCCCTTGGAGCAGATGGGGGAGCCAGTCCCGATGGATGGTGCTGATGATACTGAACACTCTGGACTCAGTGAGGACCTGGGGAAGGAGGGAGAAGCCTCAGAGCTCTGATCTTTGCCTTTATCTCCAGCCTGACTCACCTTCTCCAAGTCCCACTGGATCCCCACTCAGTCCCACATATTGTTGTGCAAAAATGCCCTGCAGGAGGGCACCCAGCCAAGGGTGTGAGTGGCGGCTGCAATCGAAGTCACGCCCCACGGACCTCACAGAGCCTTGTGCCCTGGCTGGTTCCTTTGCTGGAACCCTCCCAAAGGTGTTACACAGGCCCTTTGCTCAGGCTCCACCCTGTTCTGAGGAGCTACCTCCTTTCCTCCTGCAGGGGCTGGGTGAGGAGAGGTGGAAGGATTTCCCTGCCTCCCACTCACGCCCCAGCTCAGTTCTGTGTGTTCACTTCCATTTTCCTGCCTGGGAAGAGGGAGGGAGAACCTGACTCTTCAAAGAAGCCATGTCGGACACCCAGCTCTTCCTATCTCCTGCAGAACCTCCAGACCCTCCCGCTGCACCAGACAGGCTCACCTGGGCCAGCCCCAGGCTAGTCCAGATTCCCATTCTGGTTATGTTCATCTTCGGCAGGGGAGGGCGGGGCCTCTTCCTCACAGGGGCACAGCTCGTCAATGGACATCTGGTTGGTGATGCCTGCAGAGGGGCAGGAAGGAAGTTGGGAGCCAGACCAAGTCTTTTTCCCTCAGAATCCAAGGAGCATGTGGAGAAAAGTCAGAGTCTCCTGCATCCTCCTGCCTTCCTGCTGAGCTACATTCAACCCCCGCCCACCTGGGGAACGCCTCTCCAGCCATGCCTAAAACCCACAACCCTCGACGCCCACACAAAGGAAGAGATTTCCAGTCAGGGCCGCCAAGTTACCCAAATCTACAGGGGCACCATTTACATACCACAATGTGCATGGGGTCCCTGGGGTTGTGGTATATGGCTGTCCCTATCCTCTCTCCAGTCCCCATTCTAGAACAGTCCGGGCCACTCAGCTAGTCAGTCCTTCCTGTGCTGTAACTTTAGTCTGATTCCATTCCCAACTCCCAAGGAGTCAAAGGGTTGTTCCAGGGACTTAAGGAAATGGACCTGCTACTGCTCCATTAGCCACCCGCCCCGCAAGGCCTCATCCCCCACAATGGCACCCACCACTTGCTGCCCGTTCCTTCCATTTCTGCTTGTTCTCCTGAATGTATTTGGTCCAGGTGGAGCGGAAGCTGACCACGTCAGGGTTGGGGTCTCCCACTTCCACATCCAGAGAAGGCTGCCGCCACTGGAAGCTAGAAGCAGGACCCCCCGAACTCCAGAGGTGAGACCCAGCCCACACCAGAACCACCTTCACAGCCCCCAGAGTGGAGGGAATGGAAGATCAGGAGGAGGCTTAGGGACCCCCCCAAGTCCCTCTCCCCCCAATTTCACCCCTCCCTCTCCACACCTTCCCTCCTACTAGAAGGAGTCCAACTTCCCTCCCCCAGAACCAGGAGCCCTGGCTCCCCCCGCCACCCTCACCTCGGCTGGTTTTTAGACTTGGAGTCCTCATCCGCCAGGGGCTGAACGCTCTTCTCGGCCACATCCGTCAGCACAGAGAACGTGGGCTCCACAATGAAGTCGATGAATCCTGCAGTGAGGGTGTAACACAGTGGGGATCTCTCACGGGAGGGTTGGGCAAAGGCTACGGCTGGCGTGGCTGTGACGCCTGGCTGTGTGCAAAACAGGGCAACCTGGGGCTGAAAGTTCCCAGTGGGGGCAGCCTTGGGGATGATGTCTTTGTGACCCCAGAGAACTCCCCACCAGCGAACCCCGCTGGCCTCCCACCCCAGGACTCCATGCTCTACCCAGCAGGCGTGCCTCTACAGCAGGGCGGTTTTGAGGGATGGGGACTTGGTGCAGGCCTGGCCCAGGCCCAGACAGCATCCTTGCCAATCCCCTCCTCCCTGCGGGAAAGGACTCACCAATCTGGGACTGTGCCACGAGAGTGGAAGTGCGGTCACACAATGGGGAAAAGGGCAGGCCCAGCTCTGCCTCCTTGTCACCCTGGGGGAGAAGACAGGGCGGGAAAGCTGGAGAGGATACCTCAGACTACCAGATGGGGTGCAGCTGGGGGCGCAGGGGGTGGCTGTGGAAGAAGAGGAATTTCTGAGCCTTCAACCTGGAAATGGGTGAGATGCAAATGGAATACAACTGTTGGCAAATATCGTTAAGCTTTTAGGATAATGATATGGTGGCCCACAGGTTCCGGATCAGGTCAGAAGCTGCAGTAGCTGAATGAAGATCTGGAGTGGGAGCAGGGAGCTTGGAGAACTAGGGGAGAGAAGGCCCCACAGGCAGGGCTGGGCAAAGACGCCCCACTACCTGGCGGAAGAACTCCTCCATGAGGGCCTTGGTCCAGCGGCTGTGAACTGACCACTGCTTGGTTGGGTGGCTGATGTCAGCAGCATGCAGCAGTAGAGACAGTGCCTTGGACTTGTCAATCCTGGTCGGGGCAGAGGAAGGGAGACTGATCTTTTAGGAAAAGGAAACCTGGACCATTCCTAACTTCCCATCACATGCCCTCTTGCAGATCCTTTCAAGTGACTTCAAACCCCCTCAGAGGCTACACACACACATTTATATATGTATAGGGAGCAGCCCAGGCTCTTAGAATCAGAGGGCCAGGGGTTCGAATCCCCACTCTACCTATCACACACTAGCTGTGTAACACAGAACAAGTCACTTAAAATTTCTGTATTTCATTTTTCTCAACCCTAAGTGGAAATAATAACAGAATCTGCCACATAGAGTTGTTCTGAGAATTAAATGACATACAATATGTAAGGATTTAGAAGAGTGTCTGGCACATAATGAGTGCTCAGTAGATGTTACCTATAATTATTATTATTGTAATTATTATTATTATTCCCCAACAATGACACGCCTGGCACTGTATACTCTCCCACACAGACACCAGACATTAACACACACCTTCAGGCCACACACACTGTCCGTTCTTTCTTACACACATTTGTATACTCCTGCCCACTTTTAAGCAACATTAGATGTAATTATGGGATTTCTGCTGTGCTTTGTTTCTTTAACCTCACAGGACTCTCTCCATAGCCCTGTTAGAGGAGGAACTGGCAGCAAGCTGTTGTGGGGGGAGGCATATCATTTTCACATTTCACAGGTAAGGAGAAAGGCTGAAGGGTTTTCCCGACGTTCCAGAGCAAGCCTGTCCTGAAGCTGCAGTGAGAAGGCCCATCTCAGACTCGCAGCCCCAAGTGCTCTCCAGCAGACCAGCCGCCTGGGCTGGATGTAAGCCCAGGGCCGTGTGCACGCACGTCACACACACACACATACACACATACACACACACACACACACAGAGATCCAGCCAGATATCTGGAGCCAGGAGAGCTTCTACATCAGGTAAAGACTTGGCACACCAATTCCCCACATGTGTGCCCCCCAATTCACACACCCCTCACTCTGGCTGAGCCCCAGCCACACCCCCCAGATGCCACCTCTCCAGCTGCTGCAAGGCCGTCTTCATGGACTTCACTTGCTGGAAATGGCAGGACATGTCTGTAGCCAACACCATCTCGATGACCAGGGCCCGCAGCTCTCTGAATGGACAGAAGCAGAGGAGGGATCAGCCCCAACAGCCCTGCAAGGCAGGAGGTCCGGGAAATGAGGAGAGAGGGCTAGGGCCAGGGGCCTCTTAGGGATGCCCACTCCTGGCTTCTGCTCACACGAACTCATCCTTGGTGAGGTTGATGAAAATGTTCATCTCGTCGTCCTGCATCATCCGGAAAACAGAGCTGATGTGGTGATTCTCCAGCACCGAGCGGTCATTGTACAGGATGGCACACTCCGACCTACAAGTCAAAGGTCACCATGCTCAGCCCCCGATGAATGGGGACTCTGGCCACCTCCCCCACCTCCACGAGGCCCCTCCTGCGCCTGCCACGTCCCCACCCTCACTTGGTCTGGATGTGGAAGCTGTTGGTGGTGCCTGTGTGCTCGTAGTCGTGGATGGCTGCAGCAAAGATGATGGCCAAGAGCTCGATCTCTGACAGGCAGTGCTGGAGAAAGAGACAGAGGATGAGAGGGGGCTGACCCCTGCCGGTCACTCCCTGGAGACCTCCACAAGCAGGCTAGACCACTCCGCCCATCCCTGCCATCTTCAAGGCCAGCTCTTGGGCTAATGCAGCCAGGATTATCAGCTCCTGGGATGGCCAAAGACCCTCCTCCTTCCCAACCCACAATATTCCCACTGCACCCAGCGCACATCCCCAGCATTGCCCATGAAGTTATGGTCCACCCGGGAATTCTCTAGAGTGAGTAAGTCCAACCTGACTCTGTAAAGACCTTGGGGATGCCAAAAGAGAGGAACCAAAGAGAGAAAAAGGGAAAAAGGAATATAGTCTAGACTTCCCAGTTCTGCAGCTATGAGACCTGGAATCACAGCAGAGTGATCCCAGGCCACCTACCACCATCCCCGTGCGGAGCAGGAAGCAATGGACTGTCTGGGTAACGTCAGCTGCGTGGATCTGGTTGTGGTAAGGGTTCTTGTACTTCCCATAGCCCGTCTCCAAGGCATCCAGGAAAGTCATCAAAAACACAGTGGGAATCTGCAGTAGGAGGGAGGAAATTGAGATACATGGAGGATCTGCAGGAATGGAGGCCTGAGATCAGCAATGCCACCTTTCTTTAGAAGGCAGCATGGCACGGGGAGAGCGCCCGGCTCTCTGGTCAGGTGAACCTGGGCTCCCATCCTGGCTCTCCCACCTACTGGCTGTGTGACCTTGGGCAAGTCACGTGCCTCCTTGTGCCTCAGATACTTAATTGCAGAATGTAGATAATACCACCTACCTTGAATTTAATGAGATAAATACAAGCCACTTAGTAAGTGCTCTCTAAAGAGTAGCTATACTTATTATCATTTCCCTGGAGATTTTTAAGAAAAGGAAAGAAAGCGTCCCTCCTACCTTCCAACCACTCCACCCCATCCCCAATCCAATACCATGGAGAGGGGCTCAGAAGCAGGGGAAAGAAGGTGATGACCTGGAGAGGACCCTTCCAGATGTGGACCACCCCCTCCTCTGAGAAACCGTCCCCAGCTCCCTCTCACCACACACACACACACACACACACACACACACACACACACACACACACAAACACGAACACCAGGGGCCAGAGCTCTGTCCAGCAACTCTCAACTCTCTCTCTGTCTCTGCATATGCCCTTGGGGTATGTCTGCCTCCTTCAAAGGCTCAAGGCTCCCAGAGGGCAGGGCTGGTGTCTGCACCTGTCCCTGGATCTCCTGAGGCTGGGAGGAGAGCAGGGTTCAGGACTTGAAGAAGCTTCTGCAGAGATGACCAATAGCGACGAGACATGGAAGATGCACCACTAGTCAGTCAGACCCTAACATCCCCCACCCCCACCCCTGGAGGGCTGTGCCCCAAATTCAGGGAATTTTAAAGGACTGTTTCCATGACAACTGCCCTTGCTTTTGTGTTGCCATGGCGTCCCTGGAGGGAAGGGAAAGGAAGGGGAGGAGCAGGGGAGGGGCTGGGTGCCCAAGAAGGGATATGGAGCTTCAGAAGGGTGGCTCCTACTGGGGTCTCTACCCTGAGAGAACACTAAAGCAACAGCGCCCGCCCCCCTCCCTTGGAGCAAGGCAGACTGGGGCTGGGCCAAACCCAACCTGATGCCCTTACTCTTGGGGTCCCCCAAACCCAGTCCTTCCAGGTAGGGAAGCAGAGTTTAGGAGAAGCTGGTGTCTGGAGTATGTCTGAGAACCAGTTTGGAGAAACAAGAGCTGGGGAAAGCCTTAGGAAAAAGAGGAACTGCTGTTCTCTGTCTTGAAGAGGGCAGGATGGGAAGGAAGAAAATGAAACTGCAGAAGGACAGGCCTCAGGAAGGCACTGAAGAAAATCCCAACTGAGCAGCTCAGGAAAGTTCTAGAAGTCTCTTGGGAGCTGTTGTAAAAGGAGGAGTCAAGGGTGGAGGAAAGGCTCCCACACATGGACAGTCTGCTGTAGTGAAGTGGAGGCAGAAGATGGCTGGATGACCTTCCAGAACCCTCTGCGAGGGGCCCCTCCACCTGGACTCCTTTGACTCCCCCCATGGCCCCACAGACACACACGTTTTCCTCGGCTCTAACATCTTCTCCACCCCCGCCTAAGTGCTGACCAAAAATCCCCACGGCCACTCTTCAACCCCCTTACCCTCTGCTCTCAAGTGCGGTTTTTCCACATGGAAGTGATTTTTTCCAGCCCCTATTCCCAAAAGACACTCCCTCCCACCACAGGATCTGGAGAGGACTTGAATCCCATAGTCCTCCTGGCCAGCCAAGCTGAAGACCAATGGAGTCCACACCCCCTCCCCCCTCACACAGCCCTACCCAGCCTGAACAAGAGCCAGGGGAGGATGTGGCCAACTGCATCCCCTCCCTCCCCTCCCTCCTCCCCCTCCTCCCCCACCCCCAGGAAACAATTGGAGAGACTCCCATCCCACAGGGCCCTGATTGACAGCATCTGGACTGGAGGCCTCAGGAACTGAAACAGGGAGGTAAACTTTGAGCCAGCCCAGAGAGGACAAGTTAGGGGGAAAGGCAACCGAGAGAGCAGAATCCCAGGCTAGACGGTGGCAGATCTAGAATCTTCCTCTAGAGAGCAATAAATGAAGTCAGAGGCTGGGACTACAGCAAGTGAAAGAAAGGTTAGACTGGGGCGGGCATGGGAGACATCCCTGACAGTGAGACTGAGTGAGGGATCCTACGGAATCTGCCTTGGGGAATCTTCCAGAACAGGAGGGATGGGAGTGGAGAACCCTGCCCAGAGGCAGGGGTAGGAGGCTGCCCAACCTTAAAGCGGCTGATGAGGTTATGCCGAGTCAGCAACTCAAAAACAATGGTCCTCAGCGCGTGGTCATCTGCTGCTCGGTTCAAGGAAAAGACATCAAAGCACCAGAGGTCCAGGTTCTGCGGAGAAACAATGGACTAGGCAGGGAGACTCCCAAGGGGAGCTTCCCAGCAGCAGCAAGGATTGTAGTTAGACTTCAAGGAGGACTTCCCAATGATTACAGGGACTTGGGAAGCAGGAAAACAAAGAAGTGGTGAAAGGGGCCTCTTCCATCCCAGATACCTCTCAATATGGGAGAGACGAGAAGTCAGGAGTTTGCCTCTGGAGCGGGCAAAAGTTGTTTTGAGGAACATGGAAATGACAGTTAAATGGGAAGGCAAAAATCACCCCATAAAGAGTCTGAAAGTCCCAATGACTATCCCCCCCCCCCCCCCCGCCCCAGCCTTCTTCTCTTTCCTGAAAACGCAGGGCTCACCTTGAGACAGTTGAGGACCGCAGTGGAGTAGGTGGGGCCCACAGAGGTGTATGTTCTCCGGAACATCCTGAGGGCGAATGATGAAAAGAGGCCCAGGTATGAAGGTCTAGGGAGTGGGGTCTGATCGAGTGGGGCTGTGGGCATGTGGGGCCATACTGCTGGTGGCACGGTGGGGTCCTGGAAGACCAGGGAGGCTGGGAAAAAGGACACCACCAGAGGCAGAGGGAGGCTGAGCTGGGCGAGCCTCACCGTTCCACGAAGATCCCAGCCTGCACAGCGTGCACGATGCTCCGGAACTTGGGCTTCTCCTCTGCCCGGCGGCCTTTGGCCCGGGCCTGCTGGGTGAAGGTGGAGGCCAGCCAGTCCCGCACCTCCGAAGGCACAGCATCCGACCGCAGCTCCTGCAGCTCATCCTCCGTGTCCAGGATTTGCCTGCGGCCCCAGAGGGGGAGTCACAGAGGAAAGACAGCAGGCGCTTCCCCAGCCTAGATACCTGGGCCCAGCCACACCCCACGCCTCAGTAGCTCTCAGGCCAGGTCTCTCCCTTGTCTGACCCTCCTTTCCTTTCTCTCATTGTGTCTTTTTATTTCTGTTTCTCTGTCTGATGTCTCCAATAATGAAACAGGTCACTGTGTGAGGCAGTGAGCATCCCAACCCTGGAAGTGTTCAAGCAGACAATGGAATGGATAGCGCCTGTCAGGGATGCTACAGACCAGCACCACCAATAAAATGCAAGCCGCATGTAAGTGATTTTAAATTTTCTACTAGCCGTGCTAAAAAGGTAAAAAGGAACAGGTGAAATTCATTGTAATGATAAATTTCCTTTAACCTAATACACCCCAAATATTATCATTCAACGTGGACTCAATATAAAATATATTAATGAGATATTTTACATTCTTTTTTCTAAGTCTGAAATCCAGTGTGTATTTTACACACACATACACGTCCCAAGCCACACTGGCCACATTTCAAGTGCTCAATAGCCACACGTGACCAGTGGCTCCCATACTGGGCAGCGCAGTTCTAGAGGGATCCCACACTGCAAGAAGGTTGGGACTAGATGAGCTTTAAGGTCCTTTCTGGCTCTGAGACAGTCCTCTCTCCTTGATATCTGTGTTTGTCTCTATCTCTGCAACTCCCTGTGTGTTCCTCCGCCTCTATCTCTGCTGGTATTTCTACCGAAAGCTCTTTCTATCTGCCCTCGCACTCTTCCTGCTCTGGCCCTGTCACAGTCTCCATCTCCGGCTTTCTGTCTGTCGCTGGATCACTGTGTCTGTCTGGTATCTCTCCCGTCTGTGTCCAGGTCTCTCCTCGCGGCCCAGCGTCACCATCTCACCGCGTCTCATCTATATAGACGGCCTCCAGCAGGGAAGCTGTGTACTCCAGGTTTTTCTTCAGCTCCTCAATGTTGACCTCCCCGTTCTCCAGCTGCTTCACCATGTAGCGCAGCCTGTGGGGGGAGGTGGGGACAGACGTCCTGCTCAGGTGCTGCTGCCTTGTCATGAGAACAGGATACCCCCTAACGGGGTGCATTTTACAGAAAGAGCCTCAGTCTTCCAGAAATCGTTAACCTTTCTAACAGTAAGCATAATAGCAGCTAATATTTTCCATGCTGTTGCCACTGCCTATATTAAGTTCATCTACCCCCGAAGTCGAATCCCAGGCTTTTCCTGATTCTCCCTCTCCACCCACCTCTGACCTCTCAATATCCTCCTTGAGTCAGTGTTTCCTGAAAACTCTCCTTTAGACTGCCAGGGCCCAGCAGAATTAGGCAGGTGCAAGCCCCCAGGGTGATGTTTTGGGGATGATCTTGTTCATAGTCTGAATAACCAAGAGCTGAAACTGCTTATTCCCCCCATGAGGGAGGGCTTCAGGTTCACAGCAATCAAAAGAGCCCCCAAGACTCTTTCATTATGTCTCTTGGTCATGGCGGGGAGAGGGGTACATGTCCACAGCCCCTCTGCCCTGGCAGGGATGGCAAAGACACAGAACAAAGACCAATCTGAATGCTTTCGCCTGGCCTCACTCCATCCAGGCAGAGCTAATGGATTATGATTCCAGAATCCATCAACCAGGACAAAGCAGGGTTAACCCCTGCCTCCTCAGTGCAGGTGCTGCACCAGAGAGAACCTCCGGCAAAGGGTGACTGTACCCTTCCCATGCCTTGCCCGCAGCAGCTGCCCCCAGAGCCCAGTGGGGAGGGGTTTCACTTCCTGGATGCTTTGCCTGAAGGGACAGCCCTTATATTTTGCACTCATGAATTCTGGGGGTCAGTGATTAACTGGGAGGCTTCTCAGAAGTCTGGCGAGTCCAGCCCCGGCAGTCACAAAGCAAACAAAGCCCTCTGACTTCAGATGGTGATTTTAAAGAAAGCGATAACATTCCCCTACACTCCTTCCCCCAGCCCCACTCCACCCCACCTAAAACCAAGATGAGGGTGAAATGGTGGCCATCACAATTTCCCACTGAGAGGGGCTTCAGAAACCCAAGGTCACCCTATGAGTCAGGGAAGAGAAGAAAATGAGTCAGGGACCAGAGGCTGAAATTAGCATCAGTTCCCAGGGATGCCGGGGGAGGGAGAACAGTGGCATTCCTGAACAGAAGCAGCAGCTCTGAATCCCGGGGTCTCAGCAGCTTTGGAATAGGGGTACCCAAAATAGCCAGCCCCAGGAAGCATCCCAGGCCAACTCTCACCTCAGGGGCCGGCAGCCCTGGCCAAAAACATGTCTGAATGGAAATGGGGCAGAAGGCAAAGGGGCGAAATGGGAGGGGAGAGAAGTTGGAGGGTGACAGTGCAGCCTCCTCAGTGGGCTATCTTCAAATCCCACTTCTATGTGGAAACAGCGGGTTGTTTAACAAGAAACAGTACCATCTCAGGAAAGGTCAGCCTAGCTGGGGCTTCATTAGGGAGGGGAAATAGAGGCTAGACAAGAGAAAAGGCTTCCTAGGCAATGAACTAGAAAGGGGTACGGTACAGAGCCAGCATCTCCCAGAGTGCCGATCCAGAGATCGCAGACTGAAGAGGTACGCTCTGCCTTTGGGGCCCAGGCACAGCAGGGGCTTCCTTCTCTGGTCAGTCCTCATGGCCAGGGGGACACACAACCCAGGCGGAAAGAAGGGCCTCTGATCCCATCTCTCCCCCGGATTCCCATCCCAGCCCTAATCTTCTGCTTTGGTCAGCCCTCTTTAAAACACAAAACTCTGCCCCTAGGGGTCAATGCGTGCCATCAAATTTCTTCCAATTTCTTTCTCCATCCACCTCTTGAAACACACATCCCAGCACAGGCTCCCAAAGTGAACAGCCAAGCCCACGGGTGCTCATTTGCATGAATTCGCATAATCGCTAACAATGCTGTCAGCTCTACATTTTAAAAAGCGCTTTCTTCTATATTATCTCATTTTATCTTCACAATAGGCCTAGAGAGAGGGATGGAGGCAGGAAGGAATTGCTGTCCCTATTTCCAATGCAGAACCAAGGCTCCCAGGCGCATCTGGGAGGCGGGTATCCTAGGTTCAAATGGATCACTTCCTGGCTCTGAGCCCTTGGGCAAGTCACTAATTCAATCAGTATCTATCAAAAGGTGGCCTGTGGACACTGACATCAGAATCGCCTGGGATACTTGTGAAAAATTTAGATTCTAGGCCCCACTGCACACCTATTGAACTAGAATTTCTGAGGCTATCGTCTAGGGATCCGCATGGTTAACCATCCTAGATGATTCTCATGCACACTAAAGTTTGAGGACGTTTATTTTAGAGGCTCAATTCCTTCATCTGTAAAATAGTGAGGATGATAATAAACCACATGTGAAGGGCTGTTAACAAGAGGATTAAATGAAATAATGTATACAAAGGCCTGGCACATACAAATGCAATGGTCTCTGTAAATGTGAATTAACTGACGAGCATCATGTTGGCCCCATAGGCTCACACCTCACTCCCTTCAAATCCAACGAGCATTTGCTTCTCTCTCCCAAGTCTGGGTGGAGAAGAGTGACTTTAGTTTGGACAGAGGCTGGTAATCAGGAAGCCCCCTAACAGTGGAAGTGGGAGAATGATAATGGCCGTGATCTCTCCTTTAGGATTACAAACCTCATTTGAGCCTCACAATCACCCTATAAAGGAGGTTAAGTGACTTGTCCAAGGTCACACAACTTTTCAATCTTAGTCAGGACAGCAAGCCTACAACTCACACTACTAGAGCCTAACTGTGCCCCCAAACACCAAAGATGTTGGGGCAGAGGGAGCTCAGTCACATAATGAGCTTGGAGAGAGCCTGGAACCCACTCCATCATAGCGTCTTCAGTCCATCATCCATCCTTCATGAAGCGTCGGTGTCTGTCGGCCCATAGCAGACTGTGAGTGTCTTGATGGCACTGACAGTGGCTTGTTGATCCTGGCTGCAGTACTCAGAGCACACAGTAAGTGCTTGGTAAATGTCCATTAAATAAATAAAAGGGAAAGGGGGCAGATTAATCAGGTGAGGGGCTATCTGCCAGAGCCCACAATTGAGATCTCTGAGCCACAGTTTCTCTCTAACGGAGAATCTGGGGAGGAGAGGTCATAAACACCCCTCCCTCCAGGTTCCTCCTGCCTCCAGCTCTACATGTTGTCCGAGAGCTCTTCTATAGCTCTTGCTGAAATCTGAACCCAGCATGATCCAGGCACCAGAAGGTGGGGGGAAGAGGGAAAGAAAAACTGAAGAATAAATTTGACAAATGGGAGTCCAAGAAGCGGACCTGGACTTGGGCAGCTGGAAGGATCCAGGTGCTAAGCTTCACCCTCCTGAAGTTACGTAACTCCCCCACACTGCATTTTCTGGCCTGGCAGGGGCCTCTCTGATTCTAAAATTCTTTGGAGTTAGGATCTCCTCAGACCCACCCAAAGTCCTCACCTCACCAATCTTCTGCAGGAAGTCCTACTTCCCCGCTCACAGCAGTTTTAATCCAACCCCTCTGGTTCAGTCCTCTAGAGAAGCCGGCACGGCGTGGGAATGGTCCCTTTCCCTGCAGGACCGGACGCTCACTCCTGTCTAGTCCTCATCCAGACATAAGGAAAACTGGAAACTTCCCCAACAGTCCTTCCACCTCTACCTCTAGCCTTGTTTCACCATCACCACTTCTTCCTCCTTTACCTTCAGTCCCTGCACCCGGGAAGAGCCTCAGATCCTGAGCCCTGAGGGGTCAGGCCCTGTCTCCCTACTTTAGGCAGCCAGCCGGAAGAGAAGGCTCCGGGCTGTGATAACCCCAACACTCCAGAAGAGCTCAGCTTCTCAGTCGGCACTAGTTCATTTCTTTGAATTACCACACAGCTGATGATCGGGCTGCCACTCCTTCTGGCACCCACATGCCCATAAAGATCACTGAGGACAGGGCAGCCTCAAGCCAAGCAGCTGAGAGTTGGGAGAAGAATCCTATTTCCCTTTTGGGTTCTTAAGACCAGATGAGATTTCAGAAGCATGTGAGGTCCCAAGGATGCTGGGGCTCAGGAAGGAAAGAAAGGGAGAAACACTGCTAAGCCTCTTCCCATAGTCAAGAGGAAGCAATAAAAAGGAAAAGGAGATGGATGCGGGAGGAGAATAAGGTGAAGGGCAAGACAGATGGAGTAAAAGGTGGAGAAGCTGACACATGCGCACACACAACGTTGGGGACTGCCAAGTCTTGATCCCGCCCCCCCACCAAACTACAATTGATAGACCCAGAGCAACCTGTGCTCCTCCTCCCCCTCCCTTCCTCATCCCTGCCGCCTACCTGAGGATGGGGCCCTGAAGGTGGCTCCTCTGCACAGGAACAGGGTTTGCCATGACAGAGTTTGCTACTTTAGAGTATCAAAATGCTGCCCCTGGGGCCCTGGGGGCCCCTGAGGGGACTGACTCCCTCTTGGGCCCCTGACTTCCTGCTAGGTCTCAGCAGATCTGAGCAACTGACCAGAGAGAACTTTCAGGAGGGGAACGGAAGGGGCCTGGCTGGAGGAAGAAGGGAGTGATGAGGCAGAGACCCAGCCCACAGCAAGGGGGTGAGAGGTCTCGGGAAAAGTTTCACATCTGAATCAGACTGAAAACAAGAATCTGTTCTCAGAAGAATCCCAGAAAGGACAGAAATAGCACAGTCCAGCCCCTTGCTCTGAGGAGGTGGGGCTGCTCTGTGGGGAGAAGGGGTTAGCAGCAGGCTGAAGGGTGCAGGGCCAGGGAACCATCCCGAATCTGTCCTGGAGAGGAAATCTGCCGCAGGGGGAAGGGAGGAAGGGGCCCTGCCAGAGCCTCCCAGGGGCTAAGGCAGATTCAGCTCCCTCCAAGGGTCTTTCTCAGGGGCCATTCTTCAAAATGAGCTTTAACCCACCTGAGAGAATGGAAGGAAGACTGAAGAGAATGAGACTGCTGGGGAGGGGCTTGCTGAAGCTAGAGATCAGAGGATCCTTGCCAGAGACCCTCTCAACAGGGAGGGAAGCCCC